GTGTAAGATTTTGTTAAGGCTAACATGCATTAGTAGTGATCTATCGCATGGAATGGTAGTGTTCATTGTAATATATGCAATGGTATTGTTCAATTTAAATTTATGGAATGATATTGTCTCCTTCTATCTTGGTCTCCCAGAACCCTACGGTAGTTTAATTGCCTAATAATCACTTTCTGAAATTATATCTCCCCAATCATCCACGTAATTAATATGGTAGTTATGGTTATAAGGGAAGCAAAATACCATTTCTATCCTTAGTAGCCACCGTGATTACTAATATTAAGTAATCACCGTAACCTCTCTCCTTTCCTATATAAGACATGTAACGATGATGATTGATAGTTAGTATGGGTAAGCACTGAGTCCATTCAAATTAGACGAAATCAATATTTAGATATAATATATTTTAATTAGGTTTTGGTCGTGTAAATTACAATATTTTCGAAACTATCTCTATCATCCGATTAGACCGAGAATACCATGTTCGAGACCTCAAAACAATATATCATAAAATATCGTACCATTCTGGAGTAATGTCGGAATATGACGCATAAAAAATTATAAAACATTATAACTCGTGGCAATGTTAAAGGAAAAAGGGAAATCTTGCCACTTCCTCTTATGAATTCCCTAATCGAAACAAAACGAAAAATATTCAGGCTCTTTCTCAAGAGAGGATCCGACCAATAATCTTATAGTGAGTAATCTTGCATAACATCTCACTTACCATCTATGGAAAGCTTCTAACTTTTTACCCAATTAATATTAACGGGCTATATCTCTTTCGTTTTAAGTAGTAAATTTCCCCCAGATAAATCATATTAATTATGCTCTTAAAAATGACATCCACTTTAATATATTATGTAACAAAAAAATTGAGACATTTATTACCAGTTCATACCATGTGGTAATGTTTGGTAGTACATAAGATTATACCACGTGGTAGGAAGTGCATCATGGTGGTATGAACTCATCAAAGTGTAGAATGGTTGAATCTATAATAGTAGGAATATAATAACCATCATTTTCCATCTTTCATCACCATATACCACCAGTTACCATCCTATACCACCTTGGTATATGTGGTATTTTTTGTCTTGAATTTTTTCACAGAAATTTATAGATCTAATAAATCACGACGAACTTGTTTCTTCTGGGATTTTTCCCCCAAAACTCGAGTTAAAAACGAAGGTAGTACCAAGTGATACCAGAGTGGTATGGGTGGCACGAGTTTTTTTTTTTTATCGAAGTATATTGAAAATGGGTATCATTTTGCTGAGTACAACATACTCGTTGCATTTGTACAAAAAAATTCGAAATCCAAATTAAAACAAAAAAATAAAAGACGATTTAAAAAGTAAGAAAAATAAAAATAAGTTACTAATTCTCATCCCTTAGATTTGAACCCTACTTAAATTAATGGTTTAGATCTGGTTATACATTTATGCATATCCAAGGGTATACAACCTATCCTCGACCCTCTTCCTCCTCCAAAGTCCAAACTCCCTAATCTTCTTCTTTTTTCTAATTTGGGCTTATAAAAACTGCAATATTCGATGGATTAATTTGAAGCTTGCCACTTTTGTTAGGCCGTTTGAGATCCCTTGTTATGATTGTCATGTCAAGTCCCTAGTTTGTTTTGTTTTAAGTTAACCAATATCATATACGGGACACATGATTGGTGGAATGACGACTCGAAATCTTGTACGAGATAGAACGACAAATCAAAGAAAACTACAATAAACTATGATAAAAGAAAGATAATAAGCTAGTATTTGAGTTCCAATCTTCATTGATATTGAACTAGAGAATGAATACATATGTATAAGGCATAGAAAATGATGTGAGCCCAAGGAGCCCTGTGACCCGGGCACAAATCCCAGAGGAGGAGGAGAGCATATGGCGGGTAAAGCAACGGCAGCCGACCAGGGGTTGGCAGAAGGAAGTTCGCCGATCGGGGAAATGAAGGGAAGGCCGGGGAATGCAGGTAGGAGGGGTCCCGGTCAGTGACCTTAATTACCCGACCAGTATTTTGCCAGAGTTTCGGACCTGGTGACATGATTTTTGTCATTTTTAAGTTGTTTTAATTGCCTAAACCTATTTAAAGGCTGAAACTCAGGTTTTAGGTTTAATTTTTAGTAGAATATTGATTTTTATCTTGGTTTTGAGCTTCAGGCTTGAACTTTTCTCTGTATCAATCAAGTTTCCCCCTTGATTGTGGTTGAAATTCTACCTTTTTACATTGATTGAGCCTTCTCCCAATTTGTGTTGAGTTTGCACTTTCAATGCCATCGTATCCCTATCGTTTTATTCATGTTCTTAGTTGCGTTACTTTGATAACTACGGTACATGATCCTTGCTCGTATAAGAAACCCCCAAAAATCATGGCTCTTTTCGCTTTCTTCTCCTACATTAAGCCGCTTGCCTTCAGGTTAGCATGTATCATTGTTCATTTCTCCACAAGGGCAATACTCCTAAGATGTTTTTGTAATAATGTTACTTCTTTTGCCTTATGTTCATTACGTTGATATACATTTGTATATGCTAAAGGGTCATGTTCTTCTCTTGGAGATGTGGGCCGAAACGATGGTACAAAGGGAGAAGGAGGGTCGTTTAATACAACCCAAAAGATACCCTTAAAAAGCCAAAACAAATCATTAAGGATAAAATTATAAATTCAACATTTAACTAATAACTCTCAAGGACACAAATCCAATATGAAATTCAACAAGAAAACAAACACATTTTAAAATCCAACAAAATCCCACATAATTCTTCAATCGTAAAATCCATGGTTTTACCCAAATCATTCATTTTTAAAAATCCAACAAACAAACGACCTCTAAGGATTTGGGAAAAACAAGTGTATAAAAACTAACATCTCAAGGCTAATATCATTCAAGAACGGATGAATGAGATCCTTACCTTAAAGCGGAACCACGTAATTATTCAAGAGGAGAAGGATTGGATGAGTGAATTGGAAGCAATCTGGAAGGATGAGGAATTGTTTTGTTCAAGAGTTGATTTGCTCCAAGAGGGCGACAAAATACTAGATTCTTCTATACTTTTACTATCTAGCAGAAACAAAGAAGGTTCTTTAGGGCATGAAGTTGTTGTTCTTTGCTTGAAAATGTTCAAAGAGAGCAATCGCTATGAGAGAGAGACTCTTCTCGCGAATTTGTTCTCAAAATCTGAAGATGGTCATACATTGCCTATTCTACTGCCAGCATGCTGCAAATACTTGGCATATTTCGAGCCTGAGCGTATCTCGTCATATTTCGAGCCTAGGCGGGTCAAACCACTGCCCCAATTTGACATCACACCAACGTCCCTCCCCTTGGCAAATAATTTCAGCAACCGAAGGGTCACCCCCGTTGGGAAGCACCTGTGGATTACAAACTGGAGGGTATGGATGCAGCCGAGGGATCCAGTTGGAATGAAGAAGAGACACAGTCTGGCCATTCCCAATTTGCCATTTTAACCCCTTATCAAGTAATTGTCGCCCATAGAGGATGCTCTGCCACCCCCAAGACGGTCGAGAGCGGGCCTTGGCTTGGAGAAATGTCCCATTCGGAAAATATTTCCCTTTGTAAACTTGGGCTAGAAGAGACTGGGGTTCAGAAAGGAAACTCCAGCCGATTTTGGCTAATAATGCCTGGTTGAAATGCTCAAATCAACGAAACCCCATACCCCCATCATGTTTGCTTCTGCACATATTATGCCAGGAAATCTACCGAATCCTAGACTGACCCTTCTGCACACCCCACCAAAAGCGGGCCACGTGTCTGTCCAAGAGTCGACACAGAGAAAGAGGCAACTTGAAGCATGACATTACATGCAACGGCAACGCTAAGGCAATGGATTTAATCAGCGTTTCCTTAGCCGCCCAAGATAACATTCTCTGTTTCCACCCTTGTAATCTCTCTAGCAATTTCTCCTCCAGATAACGAAAGGTAGCCATTTTTGAACGGGCAATCAGAGTAGGTAACCCCAAATATTTATCATGTATGCCAACCGCCCCAACACCCAGAATCTTGGCCAAGAACTCTTGGTCTGGGAGGGCTGCATTCTTACTAAAACATACTGCTGATTTTGCCAAGTTCACCCGCTGACCACTCAGCTCCTCATACTCATTCAACACTTCGAGCAAATACTTGAATTCTTGGAGAGAACCTCAAAGGAATAAGTCATCTGTAAAAAAACAGATGAGAAATACGAGGAGCGCGAGGTGCTACCTTCACCCCCGCCAGCTTCCCAGCCTCTATTGCTTGTCTTAGGAGGGCCGCAAATCCCTCCGTACAGAGCACGAACAATAGAGGAGAGAGTGGGTCTCCTTGCCGGAGTCCCCTGGAAGGCGTGAAATACCCTGAAGAAGCGCCATTCATGAGTACCGAAAACGATGTTGATTGGAGGCATTCTCGTATCTATCCTCTCCAGACCGAACTAAAACCCATGTTCTCCAAAACCGCTTGCAAGAAAGGCCATTCGACTCGGTCATAGGCCTTTTCCATATCAACCTTGAGAGCCATGTACCCTTTCTTACCGTGCGTTTTGATTTTCAAATAGTGCATTAATTCGTGACCCTGTGAATGGTTCTTTCATTGCAAAGTCTCTCCCAACGACATATGAGATTACTATTGGTAACTCTCATCTCATGGTCAGGTGTACGACGACAACGTTGAGACTTTCCTTTTTCTCAACCAGTTTCAACAGAATCATTTGGTCTTCTTAATGTCATCGTGTTAGTGGCGCAACACTCAACCCCGACATGTATTCATACTAATTTGCAGGTGTTATCAAATGCACCGAAACATAATCCCTCAACTTCGCTTGGCAATGTCCCTCAACTTCGCTTGGCAATGTCGAGCTACCATTGCACAGATGTCCTACTTTCTTTGGGCGACACCTTATATTCATGTCGAGTTTGTTCGTCGATGTCTCAACGGGTTTGCGAATTAGCTGGCTTGTCAAACTAGGGTGGATTCTTTACCAGTGGATTTGAGTTTTAATTGTTAAAATTATTGCTCCACCGTTGTAAGTAATAAAAGGTTCTCTCATTGTTAAAAAAAAAAAAAACAAAGAGAGCGTCTAAGTTATCGTAGGAGTCTAGGAGACACTGGCAAAGGAAATGTTGTGGTTTGAGTAACCGTTCATGGAAAGGGGTAAGAAGTTTAAACTTCTTTGGCAAGACCTGAGATGTCTACATCTCCATTCTTCACCTCCTCCTGGTTGTAATGACTTCTCTTCTCCTCGGGGCGTCCTTGAATGGGGATGTTTCGCCTAGTGAATGGAGGGAATGCCGAGTTCTCACCTGGGAATCCTTCAAATGCATCGAGTAAGCTGTTTTTCATCTCCTCAGCTGCTTGGAAGAAGCGGTCAAAATGACCCTGGAAGTGGCTTTCAAGCTCGCCTATATCACTTCGAAGCCCAGGAAAGCTGAACGGTCCTCCTTCCCAATCGTGACTGCCTGCTTGAAATGATCCTTTGCTCATCATGTCCGTCACGTCTTCCTCAGTGTACTCTTTGTTGGATTTCAGCACTTCAGCAGGCCTAAATCAAGCAACCAAAGTAGTAGAATGCACTATAATAAGGACAGATAATGCTCGACACGAAACACCCCAAAGAAACAAGAAGAATTCAGTGACCAAAAGATCTTCACGCCATGGACTTGAGATGCATACACTTTTCACCCATCTAATCAAATGAAAACAGCTAGCACAGAGGGAATCTGCTATATCAGATTTCAATCCTGATCCAGAGAGGTATCATTTGCGAGGCAGAAAAAAAAAAAAAACATCTCCATCACCTCAGCACAAACTATGAATCTTCATCATCATCAGTAGTTTGCTATCATAGTACACCCTTATGAGGGAGGGAAAGGTAATTGGATATTCTACAAGAACTTGGGCAGAGAACGATTGCAGTGAACGCAATTCGTGAAATTTCAACATACTCAGCAATGGCTTCACAGGACATAGATAAGATAAGCTAAAACTGGCCCTGAATGGGGCTCGCTTGCATAGGTGAACTGCTAATATCGAGCTCAGCTACTCTAAAACAACTTTAATAATACTGAAACAGACTATTCAAGCATCAATTGTATCAAAAGGGTGTAACTAATCTTCTATAATCATGGTCCATTTCATTCAAGCAATCGACCATTCTGCAAATTTGAACAAATACCACTAAATTAGCACCATCTCCCACAAACGCACCTACAGAAAAGGGAGAATTTGACCTATCCCCGTGATAACATTCTCAATGGCTATTGCTAAAAGTTCAGGGAGCCAATTAGGAAGTAAACAAAAGCGAATTCATCGACAATAGCATCAGTTAACTAATACCTACGCGAGCAGATTTCTCCATAGAAATCTCTTCATCCATTCCATCAAGTTCACAACGAAGCAACAGAAACGGCAAATAGAAACAGAAACTGCAGATTATTTATCAAAACCGATCTAAGAGAGAAGTGGAAAGGAGGAGAGTAAATTACTTTCCAAGGCACTCTCTGAGAACCTCCTCGGTCTTCTCGCACTTGCGCAGAAACTTTCCGGGCTCCACCTCCTCCGTCTTGCAGTTCGACCTCACCACTTTCCTCGTCGAGCAAACCTCATCGGACGACTGCTTCTTGTAGGCTTCAACTTCGCCGGCGGAGGACGAAGAGTTGAATTCTTCCGATTCATCGTCGTCCTTCCACACCCATCCCATTTTCGGCGCGAATCACTCGCTCCTTGTGCTCTGCTCGATCTGTAAGCCCCGGTTGTCTTCCCGCACAATCTAGAAATTTAGCCACCGCCTTTTTTCTTCGCGATGTTTTTATATTCCACGACCCTTGTTTGCCGTTTGGGGCGGAGTATTGAGCAAGGCAGAAACAATTTTCAGCCGACACGGCGTCGTTTCCAATTTTACTGGCAATCAACTCATCTATCCAAGAAAATGAAATGGTGTCGTTTTGCAGGGATCAATCCTGTCCTGATCTTGGGTGGGGTGGACAAATGGGGTTTGGTTGGACCCGAACCAATATAATTTTCTTTAATGCTTAATCTGAACCAAAATCATATTTAATAACCAATTTATATGATTCGGATTTTAATCCTACAAATAATATAAAGACATTCTCCTAGAGCACCCACCTAATTCACTTTTTGCTGGCCTCTGCGCACAATTCGGAAGGACTACATAGTCTTTTCCCTCACTCGACAATTTAGCTACAATTTGATGGGTTAAAGTCAAAAGACAAAATAATATGAGGCTCCAATTGTTTATAATAAAAAATAATAATTCAAGCTTCAGTTCTTGCGGCATAGTTGTTTTATTCAAGTTCCTTGCATAATCCCTCCGGCGTTAAAAATGGCAATTGGGAACTCGGAGGTATTTCGATATTCATATCCGTTCGTTGGTATCAAGTCAGTTGGATAATTTTTTGTTAGAATAATTACTCGAACATCCTACAAATAATATCATTATTTGTTAATTTGCATGACATTGACATATAATATAATCATGACACAAATACTAAAAAAAATTTTATAATTTTGAAATTTTGTTAATTAGTATTATCAAATTGCAACCGGCCAACGGGCCGGGGTACAATCTAGTATTAGTTAATACAATTCTCATAATTCAATCCTAACCCTGATTTAGGAGTAACTATGATTGTACAAACAACATTAAAAGATCGTCTATCTAATCATTCTTTAAAAGATTGTCAACATCAAGCCCTCTTTCCAGCATCTCAGTATGCAACATGCAACCTTTTTTATACTCACTTAAGTTGAACATGTTTTGCATTAGTTCTGTTTCTGTAAACTACAGGCAGAAAATGTATGAGTAAGTCCAGATTGTTTCATGCTTTGAAACAAATCAAATGCCCTAGCTAGAGAGTTCTTTCCTTCTCAAGTGAGCACAGGTGAGGTGACTAACCCATCAACCTTTTCACTATCGAAGTTTCTCTTTTTCATGATTTCCATAATCTCTAAAGCATCCATAATCCTATATAGTGATTGTTGTGCACATCATAGATACAGGGTGTGACTCGATTGTCACTGTCATGACCGAGGTCGTGACCATGACTTCCAAAGTGGTGCTGGATCATCGCTTTCCTCCGCTTCTCGACTCGTTCACAATCATTGAGATTGAAACCTCAATCATGAGATCACGGTCGTGATCTCAAAGTCACGATCGTGATCTCAAATTCACGATCGTGATGTTTCTTGCAGTCGAAATTCTTCTTGGTTGCAACTTGCAAGTCGACCTGTGAAACCTTCTGCTAGATTTTGCATCGGAGGACTGGTCACGCCCTAGAAGTCACATATGTGACATGTGTCAAACCTTCTTTTCTTATGCCTATGTTATGAAAACGTGTCCGATGAGCCCTAAATTTATCCCCAATAAAGTTTGAACTAGTAGAGGACCTAAAGCATCATCCAAAACGCCAAGCAAGCATAAAACATGACAAAGTAGGGTAGTTCTCTTATGGAAACCTCTCAAATCAACCTAACTCATGCTAAAGCTCATGGTTTGATGATAGGAATGCAATATGGCCTAGCACGATGATTTAGGCGTACAAATGCCTAGATAACAGAGGTTAAACAACACCAATTCATGTGTTATCAATTGGATTGAAATCCAATACAAAGTAGCAAATCGACTCACCAGCTTGTAATTGAACCTCCACTTTCATTTGATGTTTGCTATTCCAACCTATTAATATATTATCTCTCTTAGTTAAATTATAAGTACGTGATAACGGCTCACACAATTCGATGAATATGCATCAACTAGATATAAACTTTGAGTTCAAATGAATCATAACATCATACAACCATCAATTCAACAATCATGACTAGAGTTCGTCATACCCAAGTGAGAAATAAGTCTAATCCTTAGAGAAAAAAAGAAATGCATATGAGAAGATGAAGGACTTCATGGTGATGATGAGATTCTTCTTTCGATCTTCAATTTCCACTTCAATGCTAGATTCCTGAGCTCCAAAGGTGGAAAATCTCCCCGAGGTAGCTCTAAGAACTTCCATAGTCGCTCTCTAGGGCTCTCCCGCTCTCTGTTCTGTGTAAAAAAAACTCAGTCATCCTCTTCAATAATTTGCATACTCTTTTTATACTTGAAAGTGGCAAAATCACAGTCAGGAATCACGATCATATTTTGAGGTTTCCGCCCGTGATTTCCAAAACATGTTGTTTCATTTAGCTAGCTTTAGAATATTATATTGGGAAAGTCACATTTGTGATTCTTCATTGTCTTCCCATAACTTTCTTCTGGTGCCATTGCCCATTTTGTAAGGCCTTATAGGTGAGTTACATGGCTAGTAGTTCGAGGCACGGTAACTAGACTAGAAATAATTGTCCCTCCTCTATCCAAGGACTGCTCCTGCACGATAGTCAACAGCATCACATAGAAGCTCAAATGAGAATTTCCAGTCAGGAGCCATCATTATGGGCGCATGTGTGAGTTTCTCATAAGAAATGAAATGAAAATATGCAATTTGCAGAGAAATTTGGAGACAATGAGAGGAGTTTCCAGACACAAATAATTCATCCATGAATACCTCAATGATATCACCTACTATCTTTTCAAAAATGATCATCATGCATTTCTGGAAGGTAACGAGGACGTTGCACAACCCAAATATGCCGATAAGCAAAGATATCGAAGGAGCATGTGAAAATAGTTCTCTTAATCTTGTGAAGTTATAAATATGGAAATAGTCCAACATACCATCAAGAAAACTAGAAAAGCAATAGAATTCATGACAAACACACTTTTTGCAACCGCCCTTTATGCGAAATACTTAAGCCGCCTTTGTGCGAAATTATTATCAATTTCAAATTCCTCCCCGCTTGATGGGCTAACAGCAGTCCAAGCCCAATAACAAAGGGTGTTTGAAAACCAGCATATCATTTTCCGAAAGAAAATAAGGGGTCGTTTGCTTCAAGGATTTAAAAATGAGGGTTTTGTAATTATAAAACCCAAGGATTTATCAAGGATTTGAGGCATCATGGATTTGTAACAATCCTTTGTTTGTTGGGATGTTTTTATCATGGATTTAAAGGTGTGGGATTTACTACTTGAAGTCAAAAATTACATTACTGCCCTTTTCTATATATGTTTGACATGTTTATGATATGTACACAAAACAAGGACAAAAATTCAAAATTACCTTACTATCATTTTCTATATGTTTGACATGTTTATGATATGTACACAAAACAAGGAAAATACATACTAATAAGCATAATGTTGCCACATGGACAATAATAATAAACGAGAAAATCCCGTTTTAACTTTTAACGTAACATAATCAATTACCAATTCTTTGTCCTCCTTTTCAAAAGTAACATATAACAACATATATTAGAATCGGGAGAACAAAGAATTACACGTTCCATGAAAAGGTCAAAGAAAACTAGAACACAAGAAATGATATAAAAAATATAACTCATGTTTGCACATTAATTGAACGTTTATATTATTCATTTATTGTTAATTAGAATGTATAATAGTTAAATTTGAGGGCAACCTTGGAATATTAAAAGTGCATGAGGGTATATGGGTAAAATCTCATCAAGGATTTATGCCATATTCCAAATCCCACATCAATATGTGGGATTTATAAGTCCGTGGGGTCCACGGATTTGGACCCTTAAAATCCGTGGGCCCCACGGATTTGGTCTCCAAAAAATGTGCAAGCAAACAACGGATTGTACCTAAATCCTTGATAGTTGGTTTTTTGGTACCAAATCCTTGAAGCAAACGACCCCTAAAACTGAAGCAAAAAAAAAAAAAAGTGGAGGGAGGAATAAGGCTCCGGATAGTATAACAACACCTCAAGTGTTGTTATACTAACAACAAGGGTATAAGAGTAAAATACCAATAAATAAATAAATAAATAAACAAAATTTAAATACCTAAACGTGTTTTATATCCCTGTCTCTCCAGCAACAGCGGCGGCCGAATCTGTACCTCCGAGCAACAATTTTCTCTGGCCCAATTCTCTGCCATCGCCGTGCCAATCCGCATCTCTCCCGTCGCCGGCGCCATCAGGAGCAAAACGCTTCGACGCGGCCTCCCTGGGCGGCGGCGCCGTCCGCTCAGTTGAAAATCTCCTTCGCGGTCACGTCTCTCCGCCTCGTTCTTCTTCATCGACAGCAAATCGTGGCTGAGATGGCAGTAGTCTCCGAACAAGCTCTCTCTTCTTCCAATCCCATCCATCGAGGTCGATTCGGAAAAAATCGTCCTCCGATTGAGGAGCGTCGCGACGGTGGAGCGAAGGCGGAGGGGGAGGAAGATGGCTACCTTTATGATCGTAGGGGTAATCACGATCTCCCCGTGGTTGAGTTGAGAATGGGGGGATATGGAATCGAGAAGACGGGGATTACAACTCTGCAATTTTTCAGTCCAGGGTTTTGTGGCAGTTGAGAACGATTGGTGGAAGATGAGGCCGATGCAGATGGATTTCTTCGCGGAGATGGAAGAGCAAGGGTCGACGGTGGCGATGGACGTCGACGACGTTGACCCGCTCGAAATGTTCAGCGAAAGCATGATGAACGAGAGCAAGCTCGCCGACGCCGATTTCTTCAACAATTTCGAGGATGACTTCGACGACTCCGACATCAACTGAACGCGATTCGACTCCTCCCATGGCCGCCGAAAGCTTCTGCGTCTCTGTTTCCGCTCTCTCAGTTAGCTTCTCCGCCTCTCCTTCTAGCGATTATAATTTTAGATAGATGTCAAGGGTTTGTTGCTGAACATTGCAGTGTACTGTTTATTGAATATATATATGAGTATTGTAGATTTGGA